CCAGTACCTCAAAAGAAAAAAAAAGAACCAATGCAGCTACAAAACAAACATGTACCACCTGGGCACATACCATAATGTGCCCTGGTTTTTGAGGTACTGGTGGTAATAAGAGCTAAATTGCATTTGGGATACATTGTCTATCCAGGGCACATTGCATAACTACCCACCTTATTGTGTGTGCCCAGGCAGTACATGTTTGTTTTGTAGCTGCATTGTTTCTTTTTTTATTGTTCTACTTAATATTACAATTAATTATTTTTCATCTAAGGTTTGGATATGCTGTGTTAAATTCAAGCTATTCTTTCTTATGATGTAATATTTTCTTTTTTTAAAATTATATATATAAAATATAAGCTCACCTACCTAAATTAAGTTCGAATCTTCTAATATGTTTTAAAGCCAACTAATGATTAAAAGTGTTCTATAGTTTCCCATATGAATTTAACCAGTAATATTTTATTTGAATCAAAATAGCTGTAATTAAAAATGGTTTTTGTGCTTGTTCTAAGTTACTCTTGCTTTCACAATAATATAATGAAAAATATTCAAGAACGTAAACAGTTATGTTGTACCGTTTGTTACACTTCTACTGATATTTAGTTTTTATCAGTCAAACATTTTGGTTTATAATCTAAACAACTACCTCAAAGTTTGAGTACCTTTCAACACAGTTCTTTTTCTTCATTAAAGGTATGTCCCTAAAAGCTAAATTGTAAGGTTATTGAAATTTGTATATTAAGTTATTTTTTTGTTTATCATCATGTAGTTAGATGAATGAAATTAACAAGCTAATAGAGGAGAAAAAAACATTTATTTCAATCATACATTTTCATGCATGCTTCATGAAAATGTAGTTAGATGTATACAGACATATGCCTAACAATACAAGATGTCACCACAGTTTAAAGTGAAAATGTTTGTATCGGATTAGGCATGGCTTAAGTGATTTTAAAAAATATATATATTTTGATTTCAATTTATTTTGGGTTTCGTAAATTAAGTCTTGCATGCAAAATATTCATGTTATTTCCATAGGTTACTTTTCATATTTACAAGTATGCTAATTTTTGTAAATTCTTCTTATTAAATTACCAAGCTATATGTTATTACATCAGTACTAAATATTGGCACTGGCAGATCCCTCTTTAGCTATGCAAGAAACTTGGCTAGAATGCCAATATCCAGAGTAAGTTTTACATTCTTTCTAAAAAATTAGTTATCTTGCTTACTTGTCACCTTTTGACTGACCTACAAAGTGAGGTCATAAACATAAATGTTGTAAGACATTAAAATAAAATATAAAACATGCCTCTAATGAGCTCAACAAATTGGACTTTAAAGAAAGCTTCCATGCCTTTGCAGCAAAGCAATGAGGAAAACCAAATTATTTCAAAATTAAACAATTATAGGTAATGTATACAGATAGGTGTACTAAAGTATAATTACTAGAATTGTGGAAGAAAATTACATACATATATTACTTGTCTTAATCAATGACAATTTCAGAGGAAAAGTGGTATTTTTAAATCTTGTCAATGTTCGTAAAATACCTAAAGTCAACCATTGCCCCTGAAAGTAGTTATAACTTAGGTAAAAAACAAAAACTACAATATTTTGTTTGTTTGTTGTATTTCATGCAAAGGTTCTTTGTGCTAACCATTCCTGATTTTAAAGTGAAAGACTAGAAGAAAGGCAGTTAGTTAACAAAACCAATTGCAAGCTCTTGGGCTACCTTTACCAACAAATAATGCAACTGATCCTGTGACCTGCACATTGAGAGGTGAGTGCCCTAACCACCAAGCTATGCCAACTAAAAAAAACTGACAGAAATGTAATAATTACTTAACTTTGGAAATATCATATTTCTGGTGTATTGACTGTTAAGAGATGAAAAATAAAGCAAACTCATCAATGATTAAGGAAGAATGAAAAACAAACTTAGTGGTAAAAAAAGCTTTTGGGCATAATGAAACAAATAAAAATAAACAGTTAAAACACATAAATGAAAGCATGGTCCTAATGTTTTTAAAAGTATGGTTTTACTTTTCATACTTACCAACTCTCTACCAATGCTCTTTTAAAATTGTTTCCATAAACTCCACGGAACTAGAAAAATATACATTTATCTATTACTACAATACATGTAGGTAAGGTTGAAAAAAAGACTAGTAACAACTATTTTTTAAAACGTTATCTCATCACACAAGTACTGGTACCTTTTAATTTCCTGCAAATATTTAATACTATAAATTGATCTCTTTCTCTTTCTGTACACATAACTTGATCAAAAACAAAAAATATAAAAAACACCAAAACATTCAAATGCAATGCAAACAAATTATAAATTACAATTTTCCTAAATTGCAAATGATTTCAAATAATAATTACCTCCACTGACACTTATAGATATTACTTGACTGCCAGGGTTTCTTCTTTGCCCATCTGAGTATTAATCTGATTTTTCTCACTTGCGGCAGTTTTTTTACACCCCACTGAATTGCCCTTGAAAATATTTATCTCGTGATACTCTCCACCTATGTCAATGCACCCTCTATCCTGGTACTGTATGTAAACACCTCATTCAGATAATTTTACCACTTTTTCAAGTACGACACCGTCCCAGCCTCTAACACCAGTTTGTAGAAGGGTGAAGGGCAGGTGTCAGCAGAGGTAAGTATTATTGGAAATACTTTTTCAATTTAGAAAAATGTTAACTTCCAAAACATACTTACCTTCATTGACACTTACAGTTAGAATCCCACATTGAGAAGGTGGAGGGACAAGTGAGGGCATTATCCATACAGAAAGCATCTGCATAGATCATAGGTGTATCAAGATAAGATTGGTACCCAACTGGGGGAACCACACTACATCTAGAACAGGTATGCTCTTCACTCTGAATTTATTTCTTGTATCAAGGATGGAATTGTACATGAGTGATCATCACTATAGGCCAGCCCCAGCTAGATAGCTGAGGTTCCCTTACTTGGAGTTGGAATTAAGGGGGTTTGGTCCTTATATCCCATGTTGGTGTCTAGGAAAGTTGGACCACAACATTACATACATACTATTACTATTAACTGAATTCAAACCTGTAGCCACAGAGTGATGCATTCCAATCTACCTGAATCATGATGAGAAAGTAAGCAACACCAAAGCAGACAAATCTTCATCTCCACCTGATTTTTTTTTCAGCATGAACCACAATATCCGTGTATGTAGAAAAAACAACTAAAAATTTGCTCCCAGACCTGTCAACCATCGAGTAAATTGCAGGCTCAAAATCAACCGAGAAAAAGCCCACAACATAACACACTCAAAGAATCAACAGAAGAAAAGCAAATCAAATGCAGCTTATTCCAAAGTGGTCTCCTTTATGTTTTTCATAGGTCATTTAAAGTCTGTGGCGATTATCATTGATTGGAACAGCATTTAGTGAGGTAAAGTAAGTTGTTTTGTCTGAGCAAAGCAACTTTGGGCCATCTGTGTCCTCCACATTAGGGAATCGAACCCCGGATCCCAGCACTAAAAGACTAAAAGAGAGCAGAGGAAAAAGCGAATATAAAGTCTCTCCAAAATGTCGAGGCTTGCCCTCACTTGCAGCCCCCCAGACCACCACCATATATCCGAATACATGTGTTCATCTCACTACAAGTAAGATCACTGGAAGTCTCAACTGAGAGTGACCCTCCCCTCCCATTGTTGTGCAATGCTAGATATCCAAGTTGGGAGAGGAGAGGCTCAATTTGCCTCTTTACCAGAAATAATAATCTGGGAATTCATACCATAATCAGCTTGCTAATTGGAAGGAAAAAAAATGTTTTTTTAAAATTATTATTATTATTACAATGAAATCAACTAGATAAAATGATAACATTCAAACTATCTTCAAATTATCATAATACTGGGAAACCTGTTAGTGATACTTTGTCGAGAAAAAGTGATAAGATTAACTGAATGAGGGGCTTATATGAAGTACCAGGATAGAGGCACACTGACGAAGATGGGGAGTATCATGAGACAAATACTACCAAGGGTAATTGATTGGGGTATAAAAGACTGGAGCAAGAGAGAAAAATATCAGAGCAATATTTAGATGGGCACAGAAGAAACCCTGGCAGTCGAGTAATAACTATAAATTTCAGTATAGGTAAGTATGTTTTGGAAACAGTACATATAACTGTTGTATGTAACAGTGATAAATTTCACTCATAAATACATACACACATCTGTCAACATAAAAACTATATAATTATGAATGTTAGAATAACTGAACAGTTAGATACAGTACTGTTGTGAACTATGTTTTAATATCTTAATTTAGATATTTTGTATTGTTTTCGAATGACATGATGATGATGTGTGAAATTTTCCAAGACATTTCATATTTTATTGAAACTTGGTGAGAAAAGGAAATATTGTATAAGAACACCAGACAGCTATTAATGATAAGTTACTCTGTGAGTTAGATAGGAAATGAGTTGGATAGATAGATTTTTAGTTAGCAAGTCAGTTCAGTTCTTTAAATTTTTTTTAGTTTATGCTGTATATTCGAGAGGAAGTTTAACAAATAAGTGACTACTTAGTTTTATTTATGAGTTACGAATATTGCTTGTTAAACCCACTGTAGAAGAAATACAATGCAGTAACCTTTCATTAAGTAGTTTGTTTGTTTATTATGGATTTTGCTCAAAGCTACATGAAGGCTATCTGCACTAGCCATCCCTAATTTAGCAGTGTAAGACTAGAGGGACGGCAACTAGTCATCACCATCCACCGCCAACTCTTGAACTACTCTTTTACCAACGAATAGTGGGATTGACCACCACTATATAATGCCCCCACGGCTGAAAGGACGAGCATGTTTGATGTGATGGGGATTCGAACTGGCAATCCACAGATTGCGAGTTGAGCACCCTAACCACCTGGCCATGCCATTTCATTAAGTGGACTGGACTTTGCATTAGTTTTACCAAAAAAATAAAAAAGATTCCACATAAATAAGAATTGTTACAACACATATGTCAGGAGTGGGATTAACTTGGTAAATATAACATTTCAAGATGAAGACATATCCTAAGAGTGAGAATAAAAATTTGCTGGAGATAATGAAATAGTGGAAAGAAAAAAAAAAGAATTATAAAAATAACATTATGAAAAAACTAAGTAGACAAATAAAGAAATTTAAGCCTGTAGGAAATAAAAAATATTCTCAAATGATATAAAAAAATAAAAATGTTATATGTTTGTAAAACACTGATATTACAGTCAGGACTGAAGAATCAAAAGATCACAATAAACTAAAAAAAAAGATTTTATCCTAAAGATGATTCCTAAAACCCAATCTCATCAAAGGAGCAAACGAAAAACTAATCAGGCATCAAAAAACAGGAATTACCTAGACTTAAAAGGTGAAGTTCATCTGAGAATGCTCCATCTGCCACAATTGAAATAAGAAACTCACAGTTACAGGAACTAGTCCAGATGTTAATAATTTCAATGACAGGAAGCCAGCAGAGTTGCTGATTGACAATGGTTCTATGGCTACCAACTGTATGATCCCATCTTGTAATAACAGGTAGGAAACTGCCTCAAGAGATGAAGAAAAAAATGGATTGATGACATAAGCAAGAAGACAAAGTTTCAGCAAGAGGAAAGTTGAAAGCTGCTGTCAGTGTGGGAAACTTCCCTACACCACTTGAGGTGTGTGTGACTGACATGGAGGAAAAGGACTTACTAAGAATAAATTTCACATAAAAAAAATTATGTGAAGTTAGACTTGCTTCAGCTATTTTCAAAATCTATGACCAGGATGTCTGTGTACTACAGAAACTTAAACTGTGGAGGTTTTACAACTGATCAATTCCACAGATTATGAGAATTGCTCACAGAATACAAAGCTACCTTCTCCACTGGATTTCTAGACTTAGGCCAAACAAATGAAATATCTCATAAAATTGATACCAGAAATGCTGTCTTAATATGATAATTGGCCATATAACTTTCAGTTGCTAAACAGACTGAGGTTTTCAAGGAAATAAAAAAGTAATAGAACCACGTAATAGTCACAAAAAAGATACCTACCCAATGTTGATCATTTCGCTTTGGACTCGTGTAATATGCAAAATGTGTTACAAATTTCACTTGTGCAACAATAAACAGAGTAACTCTGAGATTTCTTAATGTATCCTTTCAAAAACTGGTAAGATTTTGTTAAAGATGATAAGTATCTTGTACACAAAGAAT